TCTAGTCTTTCTGACTTATTTTTGAAAGTACGAATTTCCCGTTTTATGTCGGTTTTTAATTGGGTCCCGGAATATTTATACATTTTTGCGTTCATACCAGACTAGGTTCTGGAATTGAATCAGTTTTCAGGTTTTAATTTTTAGTCTTTCTCCCTCCATTCTTTCCAAGTTTTCCTTTTTTAAACCATATTCTTAACTTTGATTTCAGAATTGCGATTGAAGTTGAGAACATTTTTGCGAGAACCACATTTTTGCATCCGTTTCAGACAAGCTTCTGGAATTGAATCCGTTTCCAAGTTTTAATTTTTAGTCTTTCTCTCGCTCTCTCCAATTTTTTTTTTTACAAATTTCCTTTTTTTACGTCATTCTTCACTTCGATTGCGAAATATTTCTTGATTTTTGCATTTATTTCAGGTTAGCTTCTGGAATTGAATCAGTTTCCTGGTATTTTTATTTCTAGTCCTTCTCTCTCTGTTCATATATATATATATTTTTTTTACAAGAATACTTATATTAACAAAATAGTGTTGTGAACTTTTCGCGTCATGTCGACGACGACGAGGACGTCGAAGGTTTGATTTGCCGTCGATCGCGTTGTGTTTGTTGGACACGTCATGTCTTCGTGTCCGCCGGCTTCGGAAGGCGAGTGCCAAGTGCGGAACCGGAAACCGTCGGCAGTCGCCATCGACATGTCGACGTCGACGAATAACACTCAAGAACAATGCGTGTCAGTCCCATCGACATCGACAGCAGCACCACCACCAACATCACCACCAACAACAGCAGCATCAACTAATACTACGACACCAGCACCAGCGTTACCGGCTGCAGTTGAAGACATTGTTGCCAAATCCCGGGCTCGACGGTTGTTCAGTCTGCCCGAGATTATCCAATTGCGGAAGTCGAGTGTGCAAATTCGCCTCGCTGAGAAATTCGAAAGCGGGCTGAAACACGGCAACAAAGACCAACAACAACAACAACAACAACGGAAACGTTCGTCATCGTCGTCGTCGTCGTCTTCCGAAGGACCGGATGCTGACGTGGAACGCGTCGTTGACGACGACATCAACTACACGCGACGGGAAGACGAACAACTCGACGTCGACGACGACGACGACGACCCAGTCGACGAACCAGAGAGTCCAGATGCTCCTCAAGACCAGCAGACAATCAGTGTTGCTGATGGGAAAAGCAATAAGAAAAGGAGCAGTCAAGATGATGTCGATGTTTCGAAATCGGCCATGTTGACGACGATGTCGGAGGTGTCGAAGAATGGCGACGCTGAGCCGCCTCCTCCTCCTCCTCCTCTCGCTGTCCGCTTACCTCACGTTGCATCCTCTGACAGCAGCAACCTACTGCTACACGTCGTAACCCTAGCTGCCTCTCCTAGGAACGTCCTCTAGCTGCTGCACGAGATGAACTACTCCGGCACTTTGGCAAGGATCCTCAAAATCAAATGATTATTTCATTTTCTGAAAATCAAAACAAAATATTGATACTTCTATACTGACTTTTTTTAGTATTGATAGAAAAAAAATGGATCATAAGAAGTTGGTATTGGGGACAGATGTCACCACAATATAAGTTGATGTCAAGTGTCAAGTATTGCAATAAAACGCAACAATTGGTCTGGGACAGGACTGGGAATTCCTTGTAGGAATTCCTAGTTGAACAGGATAAATGTATTTCACAAGATTGTTGTCGTACACTTATTGATTTTAAGGTTCACAGGCTAAAACCCTGGGTGTCACCAACCTTTAAGAGGATAATCTTATAAGTGTCGATGGAATTATATTTGTTTGCTTCCTTTTTACCGGACGCGTCCCAAACCAAGTACATTTAGTACTTAGGTAATTTTATAAGTATTCAAAGAAACACCAATATTCATATATTCAAGTGTTTATTGGACTTCAACATGTACGTATATCATACGCTCCTATCCGGACTCTGCTTCTTCTCAGAGGGAAACATCCACTGCCGGATCTGCTATCTGGTCAGGGCTTTTATTAACTTCATGGAAAACCAGACAGAACAGGGTCAATGATCAGACGTTAGCCTCGTGTTCAAAGAAGTAAAGAAAGTATGAGCGGGGACAAAAGTATTCCGCAACAGCGTTTCACCATTAATAATTATACAGCAGTGGACCGCCGACAGCCATCGTTAATAAGCCTGAGGGGAGAGGAAACAGAGTTGCCTGCGCATGCGCGGCAGTCACGCTTTAATGAGCATGGCGAGGGGCAAGGAATAAGTGGAGCAATTCAGCTAGCAATTCAGCACAGCTGATAACAAGATCAATTGATGAACAACCCAGCAAACTCTTCTTGCAGCTAAGATAGTTGGATAACAAAGAACTCAAATTAAATACTGATTTGATCTAGATGAGCTGCTTGTATACTCAGGAATACATGTATATTTAACCTTTATTGGTTTCTACATAGGTCAGGAATTCTAGAGTTGAGGATGCTATCCTAGCACTGTTATTTTGAGGAGGGGGAATGATTTATATTTCTATGAATTTTATATTATAATATTTATTAATGCCTTTTATAATGCTTGCCCAACAGTTGGGGTTTTTGTGCAAATAATTACTGTACTGCAGTATATTGAATTTTGAAAATGCAGACTTTTAGGAACTGTGGAAAAATAATTCAGGAACCCTTGTTAAAAGAAAAGAAATAACTAATTTCAAAAGTGTTGTTTTTGGAGATTCAAATTATCTTTAGTTTTTACACATTGCAGTTTATTTCTGCAAATTGAATCGAAAAATTATTTTGCAGTTTGCATGTTGGTGACTATTTTTTTCGTTTCAAAAGGCATGGCAAAAAAATGAATGCATGTTGGTTCAAGTTTGTTTCACTGAAGAGGGAATAATTTTCAGGCATTTATCCAGTTGTTTCAGAATGCAGAAAGATTTCTTTCATGCTGAAATTCTGACGTGTTTTTTTTAGCCAATGACTAGATATGTTTTTTTAAATGCTTTGAATGGTTCAACTGCCGCAATAAAAATGCTATTGAATTGATGATCGACATCCGGTTCAAGGATGAAACTGAAACTATGAAAAAAAAACGAAGAAAGAGATTGAGTCTGTTCTGATCTGATCAATGACTCAGATGTCTGCCTTGATATGAAGTTTATTTCACTCCGAAAATAATTGTTGGAAATTTATCCAGCTGCAGTCGAATGCTGTGCCAATATTGACTATTTTTCTGAAATATTGGCGCGTTTTTTGGGGCAATATTTGCAAATTTTATTGGTTCCACTGAGACGAGAATGCGATTAAATTTATGATCCGATGTCTGGTTCAAACGTTCAATGATGAAAATAAGGAGAAAACCGTAGACAAAAGGGATGAAACGGATTGAGTCCGTTCTAATCGAATCAATGACTCCCTATTATAAGACTGTCGTTAGTTAATGTTTATTTCTTTGTAAAAGAACATATCTGGCATATTTTGTTGTTGAAATACTGACGTGGTTTTGAGCCTATGTCCAAAGAATTGAACTCTTGAGGTTTCGAGTGGTTGAAGATTGCAAATGAATTGATTATCAATGTCTGAGATGCAAAAATAAAATAAATAAAATGAACGTATTGGTTGCTTCTAACCTGAAGAATGACAAATAATTGCCTTAACGTTTATTTGACTATGAAAAGATTGTTTGGTAGTTTTCAAATTCTAGCATCCGAATGCGGATGGAGTTTCTTGTCGGTGAAATACTGACTTATTTTTCAGCCGATGTCTAATTAAGTTAGTTTTTTCGGGTTTTTCAAATTGTTCAATTGCCGCTGTGACAATGCGATTGAATTTATGATCAACGTGTGAGACCCAAAAAAATCTCATCAAATACCTTTTAACCTATTGATTGATAAATACGGTAATTGCCTTTGTCTAAAGGTTATTTCACTGTAAAAGTAATTTTCAGTCATTTTTTCCAACTGAACTCGAATGCGGATGGATTTCCGTCTTGCTGAAATACTCACTTTTATTTTTCAGCCAATGTCTAAATAAGTTAGTTGATGCAATTAAATTGATGTTCGACGTCCGAGACGCAAAAAAAAATCATTGGATATTTTCGAGCCTAATTAATGACAAATAATATGCGTTTGAGTAAAGTTTATTCCGCTGTAAAAAAAAAATAATTTTAGTCATTTTTCCGACTGCATCCGAATGCCGACGGATTTTCTTCTTGCTGAAATACGAGGGTTCTAACAAACGTTCTCGGAGTAGAAATGAAAATGGCTTACAGTTAACCTCAAACAAATTTTTTCTTTAGGGAAAACATATTCTTTGGCACACAAAAAAATATCAGCCCTGTTTGACAAATTTATTTGAATTTTTTTCATAATTCACCCTGGTAGAGTTTTGCTCTCTACTCAAAATATTGAGTGGCACATAAAAATATGATATTTTTTATGTGCCAAAGTATATGTTTTCCCTAAAGAAAAAATTTGTTTCAGGTCAACTGTAAGCCATTTTCATTGCTACTCTGAGAACTTTTGTTAGAACCTTCGTACATGTTTCAACTTTTCGTGTTTCAGCCAATAATCCTAGATTATTTTAGTTTCTCGGGTTTTAAATGGTTCAACTGCCGCGCGGTAAGAATTGCGATTGAATTGATGTTCGACTTCCGGTTCAAGGATGAAACTAAACAACAACAGCAACAACAACAAAAAACGCAGTGGAACGTACAGTAATTGAATTAATTTGACCGAGTCTCTTCTAATCAATGGGAGTCAAGGGGAAGATGTTCGACTTCCGGTTCAAGGATGAAACTAAACAACAACAGCAACAACAACAAAAAACGCAGTGGAACGTACAGTAATTGAATTAATTTGACCGAGTCTCTTCTAATCAATGGGAGTCAAGGGGAAAGAGGGAGAGAGAGAGAGAATTTTGCTTTATTATTAATTTATTATTCGTCTCTTTTTTTTTCCCCGTTCTGGCGGCGCTTCTCCTTCTTCCTCTTCCTCTTTTTCTTCTTCTTCTTCTTTGTGTGTGTAGATGTATGGCCGGTACACCAGGGACCTGGGCGAGTACATCAAGGCGGAAGCGCGGCGCCTCAAGCGCCTGGAGAAGCAGCGGAAGCGGGAAGAGAAGCAGCGGACGAAGGAGTTGCGGAAGTACCGGGGCAAGTGGGCCACCCGTCTCCTGGCCGTCGTGTCGTTCGTCTGGCGCAACACGTTTGCCCGTCTGGGCGAGGACTGGGTCTTCCTCGCTGTCCTGGGCCTCATCATGGCCGTCATCTCGTTTTGCGTCGAGTACCTCGTCGGCCTGTGCAACAAGGTTTGTGTGCAGGGAGGACCGGACCAAAAAATAAATAAATAATAAACATGAAATAAAAAATATGTATCTCGTAGGGCCCGAGAAACTCAAGTCCCAGCCGAACTTCAATAGGATACATGTAATAAAAATATCTGCGCAACAAGACTATCCAATTCCAGTTTAACAGACTTATCTGGGGAACATGCTGACATTTTCCTGATGAAAAAAGTCTCTAATGAAGGCATCAGGCACTGTCTCAAATTTGAATGAATGAACGAACAGAACACTTTATTTGCCGCTTTTCAGCGTTCACAAGGTACAATCAAGATTTCCACATCCAAACCCCCTCCCCACCCAAACCCAAATCCCCTCAAAGACATTTGATCACTTCAAAGCAGGAAACAAAGCACAAGTTGATGACAAAAATAAAAGAAAATACAATCCAGAAAATAAAACTGGACATCTGACATGTCTGAATACACATTTGCTCAAATTTGCTGTGCAAAATGTGGCTGTGACTGATTCTTTGGTCATAAATGGAAGGTGAAATCACGGAAAAGTTTTTTTCAAAATTTACCTTGACCTTCCTCTCTTTCAAAAATTGTTCCTGGCTTAGGAAAGATAAGGAAAAGGGGGGGGGGGTGTTGAATGAAAAAAAAAATTAACACAGCGAAACTCATTTCAACAGGGGTTTTGTATGCTTGAAAAACCTTACTAATGCTTAAAAACTGTGAGCTTTTTTGGACCACCCACCTTTACAAACCTGTACAGGAATTGATTCGAAAAATCTGAAGTCCACAAAAATTGCTAGAGTTTACCTGTTATTCAGATTACATGATTTTTTTGCTAATGTTTGAAAGAAGGGTGTATGGAAATGTACTCGTTTGAAAACTGCAAGTGATTGTGTAATACAGTACAGTATTATATTTTTATGCAGTAAAATCTTGTTACAACACATTTTTCAGTGTAACAAACTTTTTCAAAGTCCCAGCAGAAATCCTATAGGATACATGTAAAAAAATATCTTTACAACAAACCATCCAATTCGAGTGTAACAAACTTTTCTGTGGAACATGATGTGATTTTCCTCATGAAATTAAAGTTTGTTCCGTTTAAATTTTTTGAAGATCATAATTTTTCAAACACTGAAAACACACCTGAAAAGGCCACAAAGTAAGATGTTAAATATATTCTGGTATAATTGAAGAAAAAAATCTTCCCATCAGTTGATGATTTTGAAAAGCTTGTTATAACAGACTATTTCTTATAAAAACAAATCTTTTTCTTAAGTCCCCTACAATAAGTTCGTTGCAACAAGATTTTACTGTACACTACGGTACCGTATTTACTTGAGTACCACGTGCACCTTTTTTCTAAAAATTGAGGCAGAAAAATAGGGTGCGCATGGTACTTGGGGATACCTTTTAGAGATAAATTCCCAAAACCAGTGCCCCTCACATCCGAGTAAAAAAATTGCAGAGGAAAAGTGTGGCACCAAGTATCTTCCTGCATGGGGAATAATGGCTCAATTTGTTGCATCCCTTGGAGATGCAACAGGAAGTGAAGGAAGGGGGTAATATTCATCTAATTGAGGAAGCTATCCTATATTGCAAATGCATTTTAACTGCTTCTGTGGATGGAAAAAGACAGAAAGACAAAATATTGACGGGGAAAAATAAATTTAAAAATAAAACATTTTCACATTTCAACTTGATTTAACATTTTTTTTATTTTCAGCAACACCAAAAAACCAGGGTGCGCGTCTTACAAGGGGATAGGGTTTTGAACTAATTTCTGGTGAAAAAATGGAGGTGTGCGTGTGCGCCATACTTGATGGTGCGTGTGGTACTTGAGTAAATACAGTATATTGTTTTTTTTTTGCAGGCCCGACTTTGGCTTTACAAGGACCTGGTGAGCCACCCGGTGCTGCAGTTCATGGCCTGGGTCTCCTTCCCGCTCTTCCTCATCCTCTTCAGCGTCGGCTTCACCCACATCGTGTCCCGCCAGGCCTCCGGGTCCGGCATTCCCGAAATGAAGACCATTCTCCGCGGCGTGGCCCTCAAGGAGTACCTCACGTTCCGCACGCTGGTGGCCAAAGTCGTCGGCCTCACCGCCACTCTCGGCGCCGGCATGCCCCTGGGCAAAGAAGGGCCCTTTGTCCACATTGCGTCCATCGTCGCCACGCTGCTCGGCAAACTCGTCACGTCCTTCAAGGGCATCTACAAGAACGAGCGGCGGAACACGGAGATGTTGGCGGCTGCCTGCGCCGTCGGAGTCGCCTGCACGTTTTCCGCGCCCATCGGCGGCGTTTTGTTCAGCATCGAAGTCACGGCGGTGTATTTTGCCGTGCGGAATTATTGGCGCGGGTTTTTCGCAGCCGTGAACGCGGCGCTGATTTTCCGACTCATCGGGATTTGGCTGAAGGAAGAGGCGACGATCACGGCGCTGTTTGCCACGTCGTTTGCGGCGAATTTCCCGTTTGACCCGCAGGAGCTGGTGGTGTTTTCGCTGATGGGCGTGTTTAGTGGGTTCACGGGGGCCCTGTGGGTCTGGCTGCATCGGAGGTATGTCAAGTTTATACGCAAGTCCAAGAGGATGAAGAAGTTTTTGGAACGGAATCGGTTCTTGTATCCCGCCGTCGTGGCTGTGTGTATCTCGTCGTTGACGTGTCCGCTGTCGTTGGGGCAGTTTATGGCCGGGGAATTGACGACGCATGGACAGGCGAGTGGCTAGTGTTTTCCGAAAAGGCAATTTTGTACCCGACGCAGGTCGGGTTTTGCTAATTTTTTTTTTTTTTTGGTTGGAAAAAAAGTCTAGTGTGGTACTTGGGTAAATGCGGATCTTATCCATTGAATGATTTTTGATTTGAGAGTTTTCCTGTGTCCTATAGTTGCTCTTGGATGTCTCAATCAATCAGCCAGTCATCACTTACCCCAAGTGGGGAGCTATTCTTTGTGTATGACCCCACAACTGGTGCACACTGGCGTCAAAACTGGTGTACCTGGGCTATTCTTCGGTTAAAAGCATGCACCTCTGTAGATGAAATTTTGCTACCATTCCAGGGCTACATTTGGTGCACAAATGTGTCATAACAGGAGTATTACACAAATGCACCAACTGTAACCTTGGTGTAACTTATTTGTTACAAATATGACCCTGAGTAATCCTGGTGTGAACACACCAGGATTACTGCAATTTGAATAAAATTATTGTTAATGGAAAAAGACCTGGTAAATGGCTCTGTTGTATCCAATCATTTGTTATACTGTAATAAGATTTTTTGTGCAGGTGGTACCTTGCAATTTGACTTTAATCCATTGTCAAACTATGGTTAAATTGCAAAATGGTCAAATTGTAAGACACTCTAAAAAAATCAAGGGCAAACATCACAAACACACTGGAGAAGAGGCTAAAACAGGTCAAATTTTGGGTAAGGGGTTGAATTGTGAGTTGACTTCCAACCAAATTTGACCGTCAAATTGCAGGATGGTTGAATTGTGAGGTACCATCTGTAACAAGTTTCTGCTCTAGTTGAATGTGCCACTTGGAGGTTTGAAGCTGTCCAAAATTTGAAATCTTCTCTTTCTGGTCCTGTTTCAATTTGAATTTATTTTGCTTTAGACCATTGATAGAATATTAAAAAGGTTTCATTATGGCTATTTCTTAATCCAAGAGAAACCTGTTTTTGGAAGTCTGATGTGAAGTAACGTGGTACCTTAATGGGCTCGAATATCATGGATGTCTGGAATGTCGACAACCATGAATAAACCCACTCAAAAGAAGTGCTCAGAATTTTGTTTTCATCAGGATATTATATTATTACGACGATTTTATCTTTATGCCGATTTTTTTTTTTTGTGGTTTAACAGGGTTCTTTTTCTGGGTTTTAGGGGTTCTCTGCCGCGAAATTCCAAGAAAAACCGTTGAGAGAATTTTGTAGCAGAGAAAGCCTGTGATATGGGAACCCTATGAGAAAAAAAAAAATCGTTGTAGACAAGATTGTTTTAGAGATCCACCTATAATAATAATAATAGTATGGAGATATCCAGAGAAAAGTGTTTTACGAATTCTCTCTGAAAATATTTTTTCGATGGTCCCTTTGAATATCGTTGTAGACTATGTAGAGAACACATTCAACATCGGGAGACAATCCTATGCTAGGTGCAAAAAAAATATTCGTTGTACTGTATAGTGAAAAACATTTTTAAGACAAGATATTTGAAGAAATTCTTTCCGAAACTAATTTTTTTCTGGCTCATTGGCATTTTTCTCTCCAGAGAACCCGTGTAGCATAGGAAGAGAACCCCATAGGATTCCTTATATTGTTCCGAGAAAATCTTTATAGACGAGATGGTTGTAGAAATTCTCTCTGAAACGTTTTTTTTCTGTTTCCCTTGAATTATTTGAAAAAAAAAAAAAAGTGAGTCCATCGGTATTTGGACGCATTCTTTTCATTCTCTTCTCACTCTGACCCAAACACGAAAGAAACGAAAAACGTTAGAATGAGGCATCCTTTCCGAGGAGATACAAAAATCTGCCGAATAATATTCCGTCTTCTTTGAATTTTCGATTATTCTGCCAATAAAGTGCATCAAAAGTTCCGCAAAACAATAAGTTCCATATCGGAAAAACCTTATTCCTAATAATTATTCAAAATATCTTTTTTATCTTCCTTCTACAAAATGAAGATCCGATTTTATAATAAACTTCAGCCAAAACTTGAGAAAAAAATATTCATGTTTTGTTGTCAGATATTAACTATTTTTTATGTTTATGAAAACCTAGTCTCAGACGTCTCCAAGATTTACTATTCACTGAACTTACCATTGTACGTTCTTTTTGATAGTTGATATGACATATCTTTAGTGAGGAGATTTTCTTATTTCCTGTTGCCGAGAGAATTCAACAACTCATCAATTCTATGAAAGAGTAAGCTTTATTCCATATTCAACAAAAGGTTCAACAAGACTCAAATGTAGCAACAACCAGATAGCAATGAGCGCGTGCACCAGAAAGAACAGGCAACTTTATAGATTCCAACAGGTAGAATTAAGCAACTATGGTCAGACCTGGATCTGACCTTGTTTTGGAAAGGGTTGTGGGCTGCATGAAGCGCCATCTGCTAAGGTACAAGGGAACGTCAGAAAGTATTTGATGACAGTGTTTGATTCAAATTTTGGGCAAAGCACTGCAATAATTGATCTTGGTGTTCACAATGTAAGCTAATTTACTTTTTTTAATTGTCAAGAATGGAAAAATGTATAACCTAAACTTCAAGTGAATTCAACTCAGCCTAAAAAAAAAAACCGGTGCACACTTTCCCGCGGAAAAAAAAATTTTTTTTCGGAGAATAATTTTCTGTTTCTTCTTTAAAAAAACAAAAAGGTGGATTCCCTGTTTGCCAACTTCTCGTTCGTCATCGACGAGCTGGAGATTGACCAGCAACGCGTGCGGGACTACTGGGCGACGCCGCAGTCGAACGTCTTCCTCTCCCTCGCCGTCTTCTTCATCATGACCGGCATCATGGCCATTCCGGCCAGCACGATGCCCGTGCCGTCGGGCATCTTCATCCCCATGTTCAAGATGGGCGCGGCATTCGGGCGCCTCGTGGGCGAAGCGATGGCTGTGTGGTTCCCCAGGGGCGTCCGCTACGGCGGCTTCTTGTCCATGATCCAACCGGGGGGCTATGCCGTCGTGGGCGCGGCGGCGTTCAGCGGCGCCGTCACGCACACCATCTCCACGTCCGTCATCGTGTTTGAGATGACGGGCCAGATCACGCATATTTTGCCGGTCATGATTGCCGTGCTGATTGCGAACGCCATTGCGCAGTTGTTGCAGCCGTCGATTTATGACTCCATGATCCAGATCAAGAAGCTTCCGTATTTGCCGGATATCCTGTCTTCCAAGTCGGGTTCGTTTTCTGCCTTTAATTTCGATGGTTTACGGATAACAGGCGAAGAAAAAAAAATGCAACTTTCCTTTGATTATACAGTGGCTGAGTCCTCGGAATTAAAAGAAAGAAATACGAGGGAAGAAACTAGTAGGACTAGAACGATGTTTTTTTGAAGAGGAAGTATGAAAATAAATTGGAAATGAGCCCTTGATCTTTAACAAAAAAAATTAAAATGCGCTTATTTGGGTTTTCTTTTTCTTTTTTTTTAAATAAATCATTGAAAAATTCACAAGGTGTAGGAAAGTTCATGCTGAAAAATATGTAAGATTTTTAATTTTTGTCTGGTCTGAAAAAGTCTCGAAAGCTTGTGACATGAATGGGAACACTCTCACTGGAACCGGAAAGTCTTCACTTATTAATATTATCATCATAAAATAAATCTAAAAATGTTGGAAATCTGAAGAAAAAAAAATCCCAGAACCTTACAGTTGCATGGGCTACATCATATTTAAATATTGTTTGCAGTGGTACCTACTGTGGAAATACTTGAAGCCAAGTAGAAGTGGTACAACCCTTGTATAGTTGAACTTTGAAAACTCAAACCTCATTAAACCAATTTTTTTTCAAGTCTGTGTGAAAATACCGTTGAAAGCAATGAATTAAATAACTCCTCAAGTCAAAGGATTTTCCTCTCAAACCTCCATGATTCAAAATTTTCAGAGGCCTTTCAACTATTATTTTTGTGACACAGAAAAGAGAAAAGCAATAGAAAAAAGTATCTTGGTGTGTTTTGAAAGGTATTGGGCAAATGAACCCTTGCCTCCAGGTTCAGCATCCTGTCAATAAATCCAAGAAGCTTTTCAATGCCCAGAATATCACCATTTACAATTTCCTGCAATTCTTCTGTTGTTCCCACGCACAAAAAAAAGCTTGTTTCCTCAACTCGAAAAATGTTTGCTGGTCCCTTGAAATTTGACTTGGAGACGTTCAACTGTATTCACGGTTTTTGTTTTGTTCATTTTATGGACATTATTTTTAAAATCTCAGTATTATGAAGAGTTTGTAACGTAAGTGGCTCCTCATTGTCGGAAAAACAATATTTTAGTGGTTAATTTTTGTCTTGTCAATTTTTTTTTTCATGTCACACTGGCGAAAATTCCGTGTCACTTTGTGTCATTTAATTGATGCGCTTTTCTACGCAGCTGCTTACAACATATGCGTGGAAGATTTCATGGTGCGGAACATCAAGTACATTTGGCACAAGATGACGTATCGAGAACTGAGGGAAGTGCTGAGGGATTCCAAGAAGCTCCGGTCCCTGCCAATCGTGGATTCGAAAGGTGATTTTATCCTTTCGAAATTCCCGTGTTTGTCTTATGTTTTATGCGTTTATGTTTGTTGTGCACCCGCTTGTCTTTATGCTTTATCCCTGGCCTATTTTTGAAATAACATGGTATTATTATTATTATCATTATTAGAATATCACGAAGTTCTGTTCAGAATTTCCGGAAGTCACGCACAAAACCAAACTTCAAAACATATTTTCATTTGTTTGGCTTACTAATAGGAAATGTTGACCGAGTGAGTAAATAGATCTTGCTCATTCATAAGGCAAATGAATGCATGGTACTTTCCTGTTATCTCATGTTGTCTTAACTAGCTTAAATTCAGTTGGAGAATTGTTGATCAGACAATTCTTTCAAACTTAACTGCCTTGACGGTTGATGTCAAAGATTTGAATTTTTTTTCCAAGTGCTTTTGAAGAATCAAAAATAGAATTCAACAATCTTTACAAGTGCGTCTTTTATTTCTGTTTCACAAAGCATAGAAATATATGAGCATTCAATGTTGAGGTTCTTGCGGCAAGAGTTTGGGGAGAGTAAACTTAACATAGTATAGCAGACACTTGTATATATAGACAATTGCATTTGAGGTCAGTGCCAAGCCTAGCAACTGATTTGGATCAGTGTTGACATACTTGGTTGTGCAGCAACCAAGGTGAAAGGTGCGTAGCATAAGAAGGCGTTTCTTAATGTACGTAAAACGTGCGGGTTTTGCATATGATTAACAATGCAGAACAAACAAAAAGCAGACAAGGGAACGTAGCAAAGTGCTGTATATTGTAGCCATGACCTTTATTGGACTACACTCAGTACCCATTTTTCTTTGTCTTGTGAATTCAGTATTTGTTAGGTTAGGTTAGGTCAGGTTATGTTAGTTACAAATATCTTTCAATCAACATAACCTGACCTAACCTAACTTTACC